TGATTGTAATGGAGTCCTGGGTGTACACCCACCACCGGAGTGGAATGGGCGGCGCATCTTACAGATGGCAAGTCGATGGTCAGAGGGCAGATCAGCTCCACGGTAGGTCCTGGTGTCAAGGACATGGGCACGCATCCGCTGGTCCGTCACTATGTAGTCCAGCAGATGTTCTTGCTTGGACCCGGCATGCATCCATGATGTTGTGTGGATGCGCCGATGCTGGAACAGCGTGTTGGTAATTACAAGTCCATGGGCTGCACAAAAATCTAGCAGCCTCCTACCGTTGTCATTAAGCTGATCCGGCCCATGCCCTCCAATCACTCCAGGTCAGGTGCCAGCATCATGACCAACTCCGGCATTGAAGTCACCCAACAAGATGACTCTATCCCGAGGAGCCACTTTAGCCAGCACCTGTGACAGGAGGTCATAGAAGGCATTTGACTCATCGGCTTTGCCTGCATCCCTCCACGGATGTTCGTCTTCGGTGGGAGCATAAGTAACCACGACCACCAATCCTCACCTCCGATTGATGGGAAGGCGAGCCCAAAGTAGCCTGGGGCTTACAGCTACCCACACCTCACCGCCACGCTCCCACGCCCCCTTCATTCTTTTGTTCAAAAGAAGAGGCACACCCTGTTGTTTGGCAGTCTCCTGCCCCGAGTAGAGGACTGTCCACTCCTCATGGTGGCAGGAGCCAGAACCGGTCCACCGGACCTCCTGAATGCCAGAGATCCAGGCGGTACCGGTCCAGCTCCCGACAGAGGAGTGGCAGCCTCTCTTCCGCAGTGAGCACACACAGACACACACACAGACACGTTGTTGTACCGTTCCCAGTTCTCTGTGAAGCACCTTGGATGAGGCGCTGCTCTCTAAACGACGTGAAGATGCAGCCCGAAAGCGCCGTCTGTGTCTGATGGCGAGCCAGAAGCCGTCGCCGCTGCCGCGAGGATGATGACCGGCGCTGACGTGACGATGGTTTAGAGCTCTTAGACGAGGAGGCCTTCGTCAACGTCACGACGAGCACGTCGCCACCGTGTCACACACGTGGCGCAACGTTCAATGGCCTCGTCTCCCGGTGGTGCGAGACGCCATGATGCGTCTCTGATTCGTCACCCTGGCCAGGTCCGCACTGACCCATCGGGGCAGCGGTCCCAGAGGCCCCATCCATTCTGAGGGCCGGTGGCATGGTGTGGGCGGTGTGTGGGGGGGTATGCCGGTCAGTGTGAGAGAATTACAAATGTGATCAGAGTTGTAAATAAAATTATATATTAATTACAACAATTAAAATGTTCCTAGTTAGAAATCAAATAAAACAAATCGCGACGTTTCGGTCGCAACGCAAGCGGTCGAAACGTCGTGATTTTATTTTATTTTTCTACCTACTAAGTGACTTCACCGAAAGAACCAAAGAGTATGGGACTCCTTCGGTCACGAAAGCTTCAAATCAAAAATATTTGCAGTTATTTTAAAATCTTTCTTCACCTCCAATGTGGACTTGCTCAGTGGGCCGTGAAGTCCCATCGAGATATTCGGCACCCCACCCAGGCACCCACTCTCGTGTGGGCTGGCTTGGTGGTGGTGGTGGTGGTTGCTGTTTTGGTGGAGCCAGCAGCCCCACGTGGGGGACCGGTGGAGGATCGCGCGGCGGCGGCATGGCTCGGCACGGCTCGGCACGGCTCGGCACGGCTCGGCACGGCTCGGCTCGGCACGGCACCGCGAATGTTTTCTGTGTTGGCGCATGACGACGACCGCGTATCGACGAAGGCCGAGAATTGCCGCACGGCCCCGAGTTCCGAGGGCCCCACAGGCCTCGTGTTTACTAATTACCTGGGCCGGTTTTTAGTTTTAGACAACACCCACCCCCACCCAGTGCCGTGACCAACCACCGATTTGTAAAACATTTTTTTTTACAAAAAACGCCCCCAAACAAAACACGAAGAAAACCGATAGGGAGTTGTGGTTACTGTTTGTTTTCCTGTCAAAAGATCCCTTTATTGGTGACTTTGTTTGAGTTTTGAAAGGAGGTTTGGGGGGGGGGGGAGACAAACGGGGAAACGTTCGCAACTCACACGACGTGCGGCATGCAAGCGGTGGCACCGTCAGTTCGACTCTCGACATCCGTGCCACGCCGAGCCCGTGCCACGCCGCGCGTCCGATTGTTGCGTGCGCGGTGAAGCGATTATTCATTTTTTCCCGTATCGCGTGGGCGATGCCATTTTTTTTGTCACTGGAAAATAATTCGTTGGCAAATGCCCCGCGGCCGACATCCACTACCCCATCACCCCATCACCCCACTACCCCACTACCCCATCACCCCATCACCCCACTACCCCACTACCCCATCACCCCACTACCCCACTATCCCACTACCCCCAAATGTTTCCCACGGATATTCGCCACGACATTAAGAGGAGAAATCCTGAATGGGATTGCAAAGCACCACCACCAATAACACGACCAAAAAGCACCACCACCAATCCCCCACCACCACCGCCCCCCCCTCTCCTAATCTGACTTTTGACAATGCATCGAATCACATGGGGGGGGGGGGGGGGGGAGAAGGCTGAGCGACAATCGTTCGTCTCACGCCCAACTCCTTCATGCCACTGGATCAAAAGTGGCTCCCTGGTGGAACGAGCCCAAGCCAGCAAACCAAAAAATACAAAACCAACGACGTCCCTCGAAAGTCCCGACTGTGTGGCCCACGCGGCCACCTGTGGTGTGTGGCGGGGCGGTGGGTCGTGCACGAGCAGAGGCCTCAACGCCTTTGGGTCACGGCGAACGCCGGCAGCAGCTGGCGGAGGCCGCGACATTTCGCAGCCTCAGAAAATCGTCGCAGGCTGCGGGCGGCACCACCAGGGTCGTCGGCGGCGGCGTCGTCGGCGGTGTCGTCGTCGTCGGCAGGGCCGGGCCGAGCGTTGAACTTCTCTCGCGAAAGCCAGCCGGGAACAAATGTGGAGGCTCGCTAAATAAAACCACCCGATCGGCAAATTGAAACTGGGGTGGCCGGAGAACAACCGGCCGCTTGCGAGGAGAGATGAGAAATCCTCACCCACCCTCCCCGCCCTCCCCACAAACTTGGGAAGACTGTGGACGTGATGCGATCTTCTTCCATATTTCCGACAAATCCGACATCCCACCACCATTAAATTACTCGACAATCGGACACACGCATCGTCGACGCCGCCAGATACAGCAGATATGCCACTAGACATAGACAAAGGTCGGCCCCCCCCCCCGCCCGCCTCACCCGCCCGTGTAGCCTATGACAGGCTGTAAGGGGCAAGTGCTGTTAGCGAGCAGCACCTGCGAAGGCCGGCACGGCCGCACGAGGGGGTGGACGGCCAACGTCACGCCCGGCCGCCTTTGTCTCACCGGGTGGCGGTGTTTACACAGTGCACCAGGTACGCGCAGGGACAGACGCACCGCACGCACAGCTAATGCTATATATAATATATATAAATATATATTTATATAGAATATATATTTATATATATATAAAATAAAGGCAACAGCGAAGCCGCAAACAAAACTTCCCCTTAAACTTCCCACAATCAGATTCCCAACGAGTCACGAGAAGGACAGCCCACAGTGTCCACGGACAACTCGGGTAGAAAGCCGGAGAGAGGGGTGGAATGCCGATATCGTTATTCCCCTCTCGGTTTGCACCGTCAGCCTCGGAGGAACATTTTTGTCAAGGCAAATCGAAGTTTGTCGATTCCCCACACAAAGATGCACACCCCCCCCCCCCCCATGTAGCCTCTGACAGACTGTAGGGGCGAGTGCTGTTAGCGAGCAACCCCGAAGGCCGTCGCTGCGGCACACGAGGGGGTGGGTGGCCAGCTACACACCGCACCGGGTACTCGTTTTGAGGCCGAGTCGACCTAGGGGAGGCCCGGGACCGGTTCAGAGAATCGTCACCGGGCGTTGGCCGTGAGCGGGAATCGAACCCGGGTCGCCGGGTTCGCAGCGCCCTAACCGCTGCACCACCGGTACCCACACACACACACGCCGCACACACACAGACATATGCCGCACACACACACACCGCACACACACACGCACACACACACACCGCACACACACACACCGCACACACACACGCACACACACACACCGCACACGCACACACACACCGCACACACACCGCACACACACACCGCACACACACACACACACCGCACACACACACCGCACACACACACCGCACACACACCGCACGCACCGCACGCACCGCACGCGCGACTTTAACCGCATAAATCCCACGAGTCAAACGACCGTCTGTTAATCTAAGAATCAACTCGCGAGGCCCTCCCACCGGCGACTCGGGAGACCGGGAGCACAAATCACCACGGGGGCGGCCGGGGAGGGGGGCGGGGGGCGGGGGGCTACGCGTCGCTGACGACCGACAAAGAAGCCGAAGCCGGGGTCGGGAGTTCGCCGCGCGACGGCCGCACTCGGCGCCAACCGCAGCGTTCGCGAGACCAAGCGGGGGCGTTGACGGGAAGCTTCACGGCCCGTTCGTCGCAGGGTCCGGGTGAGCTACTCGGGTGGGGATGTGGGCACGGGCGGTCCGGTTCACGATGAAACTAAAACGACGACGACGACGACAACGACGTCTCCGGGGGAAAAAAAAGACAAAGATCCCCCTCCACCTCCCCCCCCGTGTAGCCTGTAATAGACTGGCGGGGCAAGTGCTGTTAGCGAGCAGCACCTGTGAAGGCCGGTTCAGATCATCGTCACCGGTGTTGTGGCCTTGAGCAGGAATCGAACCCAGGTCGCCGGGTTCATAGCGCGGCGCGCGAACCGCGACACCACCGCTCCCCACACACCACACACGTACACACCACTACACGTGTACACACACCGCTACACGTACACACACCACACACGTACACACACCACACACGTACACACCGCTACACGTACACAGCGCCACACGTACACAGCGCCACACGTACACACCGCTACACGTACACAGCGCTACACGTACACACCGCTACACGTACACACCGCTACACGTACACACACCACTACACGTACACACACCACACACGACGCACACGAAACACCCCACAACGCCACCGAATTAACCAGATCGCAAACTAAGCGGCGTGCGAGGCGGCGGGGGGCGGGCGGCGGGGCAGGGGGGGCGCGGGGGGGCAGGGGGCGGGGGGCGGGGGTCACAGCGCACCGCGACCGCGAAGAGCCGGCGAGCCCGAGTCCGGTCCCCGTCCGCGGGGTGACGCCGGTGGAAGGCGACGCCCTCGGGGACCGGTTCCCTGACCCGCGGCAACACGAACACCGGGGGGCTGCGGAGCAGCGCTACGCTTCTCACGACGGAGGAAATTTTTTTTTAAAGAAAATGCAACCGCGCAAACGTAGCACGAGGCGCCGTGTAGGCCTTGCCCGCGAGCCAACGGACAGGCGGTGGTTCGCGCGGGGGCCGCCGACCGTTTCGAACCGTTTCAACAATCGGGGGAAAAGTGAAGACGAAAAGGATGAGACGCTAAAGCACAAACCGCCCGCGCCGTGCCGCCGAGCCCCAACCCCCGCCCAGCGAACGCCCGTCAATTCTCCGTCTCCTTCATTTCGTGCTCCTCCTTCTGGTGCCTCTTCATGAAGTAGCGGTTCTGGAAGGCCGTCCCGCACACCTTGCACGCGTAGGGCTTCTCCCCGCGGTGCGTGCCCTTGTGCAGCTTGAGGTCGTGCACGCGCGAGAAGCCCTTGCCGCACTCCTTGCACACGTGCGGGCGCTCGCCAGTGTGCACGCGCTGGTGGATCTTGAGGTCGGTGACGCTGGCGAACATCTTCTCGCACGCCGTGCACACGTACGGCCGCTCGCCCGTGTGCGTCATGCGGTGCTTCTTGAGGTTGGTGACGCGCGAGAAGCCCTTGCCGCACTCGTCGCAGACGTGCGACCACTCGCCCGTGTGCATCTCGAGGTGCTCGCGCAGCGTCGACGTCTGCGAGAAGCGCTTGCCGCACTCGCCGCAGGCGTGCGGCCGCTCGCCCGTGTGCGTGCGCCGGTGCTTCTTGAGGTTGGAGACGCTCGAGAAGCCCTTGCCGCACTCGTCGCAGGCGTGCGGCCGCTCGCCAGTGTGCGTCCGCCGGTGCTCCTTGAGCGTGGACGCCTGCGAGAAGGCGCGGCCGCACTCGCCGCAGGCGTGCGGCCGCTCGCCCGAGTGCGTGCGCCGGTGCGTCTTGAGGCTCGAGACGCTCGCGAAGCCGCGGCCGCACTCGTCGCAGGCGTGCGGCCGCTCGCCCGCGTGCGTGCCCACGTGCCGCTTGAGGCTCGAGAGCTGCGCGAAGCCCTTGCCGCAGTGCGGGCACGGGTGCGGCCGCTCGCCCGTGTGCGTCATGCGGTGCTTGCGCAGCTTCTGGACGCGCGCGAAGCCCTTGCCGCACTGCTCGCACACGTGCGGCCATTCGCCGGTGTGCGTCGCCTGGTGGTCGCGCAGCGTCGACAGCAGCGGGAAGCTCTTGCCGCAATCGCCGCAGGCGTACGGGCGCTCGCCCGAGTGCGTGCGCCGGTGGCGCTGCAGCGTGCGGTCGTTGGCGAACAGCTTGCCGCACTCGGGGCACTCGGGCTGCTGTTGCTGCTGCTGGTGGTGGTGGTGCTGCTGGTGGTGGTGCTGCTGCTGGTGGTGCAGCTCGTGATCGTCGAGCACGTCTGCCGGGGGGACAAGAAAGACGAGCGACCGTCTCGCCCCCATCGCGCTCCCGCGGGTAGACTGCGACGTTTGAACGCGCGCTGGCAAGGGGCAGCAGTGCCATCAAATGGTTGGCTTGAAAACAGCTCGGCTCGGAAATTGGCGCAAAATTTTTCAAGCCGACGATGGTAATTTGCTTGCGCCTTACCTACACTTTGCACTACTATCGTGTTGCTGTGCTGTTCGGTGTTGTAACGTTGTGACCCCCCTGTGCCCCCCTAACCGGTGTGTTGCAGAGCAAGGGCCACAACATTTACAATCCGGGCGCGACGTTTCGCCAGTAATTACAACTCGCTTCATCAGGCGATGGCCAGATTTGGCTGTGCTAGTCACGAATTGGCACGTTCTGTTTACCTGACAAACCTTTACCAAGTGTCTGCGTCGGGAGGTGGCGGGTAACGACACAACATTTACACGAACTCGCCCAACAAAACCTCCGTTATGGATGAGATGGAGCAGCTTTTCTACATCCGAGGCAGAGATGGGGGGGATCGGATACGGGAGACATTCCTAAGATGGAGGGGGAAAAAAAACCCACCAAGTGTCCGTGATCTTTTAAAACACGAGCCTCGAAGGACCAATGTGGGAATCACAGATGGGGTGACCCCCCCGACACCCCCGCCCCCCCCCCACCCCCAGACGTGCGACTTCCACGTGCCGGACCGACGATGTTGTAAGAGCCATAAGACAGAAAGTGAATGTATTATTTCTGTGCATACAATTTGATGTACATCTGTCATAACTTGAAAGATTGGGAATACTTGACTTGGAATATTCCAACTGTTTGGAATCCCCCTTGGTTAGGCGCTCCGTTGGTTGAACCCATGACGTCACTTCCGGTCGGGCGGTGTAAAAGGGAAGCCAGGAGAAGAACCAGGGGGAGCGGTGAGTGGACACTCTTTGACCGCGCGATAACGTGATCAAGTAATAGGCGAGATATTACTCTGGAAATCGCTGGTTTTGTGCAAATAAGAAATAAAGTTAAAAGAGTAATTGGTATGCTTCCTGCCGAGCCAATTATGACAGATGTACAACTCCATATATATAAAAGGCAAAGTTGTGATTGTGTGTGTCTGTTCAAACATGTTTAGCGTACTTCCCGACATGCAACAAACTTGAAATTTGCCATGTCGGTACTTTCCAGACTGTACACCATGCAAACATTATAAAAATACACTTTTAGGTTTTTTTTGGGGGGGGGGGGGAGCTCAATAATGTATTTTTTTTTGCACGGCAAGTGAGCTGTGACGTCAAATCTGTCACGTGACCCGCGCACGTGGAAGCTCTAACGCATTGTCGTGTAGCGGTTAGCGCACTGCACTACGAACCCGGCGACCCGAGTTCGATTCCCGCTCACGGCCACCACCGGTGACGATTATTTTTACCGGTCCTGGGCCTCCCCTAGGTCGACTCGGCATCAAACAAGTAACTGCTCTGCTGTGTGAACATCGCCAACTGGGGAGACAAAGTCGGCGGGCGTGGTGAATCCAAGTCCCGGGCGAAGCCGGGTAGTACAGCTAGTCAAATGTATAATACATTCACTTTCTGTCTCACGGCTCTTACATGACCTGCCACTTGGGGGCTGGTAACGTTGAAGGGTGCAAGCTTTGTGAAGTTGCGGGGCGGTGGGGGTGACCCAATGAGCACCGCCCTCCTTCTCGACGCCGCCGTTCAAGCGGAGGAAGTTTCGTCGTCGCCAACTTTTGACGGAAGCCGGTGACGAAGTGACCTCTCCCCTGTCTCTAAGAGACCCAAACTCCCCGTGACCTCTCCCTGTCTCTAAGAGACCCAAACTCCCCGTGACCTCTCCCCTGTCTCTAAGAGACCACAAACTCCCCGTGACCTCTCCCTGTCTCTAAGAGACCCAAACTCCCCGTGACCTCTCCCTGTCTCTAAGAGACCCAAACACCCCGTGACCTCTCCCCCTGTCTCTAAGAGACCCAAACTCCGTGACCTCTCCCTGTCTCTAAGAGACCACAAACTCCACGTGACCTCTCCCCCGTCTCTAAGAGACCACAAACTCCCCGTGACCTCTCCCCCGTCTCTAAGAGACCCAAACTCCCCGTGACCTCTCCCTGTCTCCAAGAGACCCAAACTCCCCGTGACCTCTCCCCCGTCTCTAAGAGACCCAAACTCCCCGTGACCTCTCGCCCGTCTCTAAGAGACCCACAAACTCCCCGTGACCTCTCCCTGTCTCCAAGAGACCCAAACTCCCCGTGACCTCTCCCCTGTCTCTAAGAGACCCAAACTCCCCGTGACCTCTCCCTCGTCTCTAAGAGACCCAAACTCCCCGTGACCTCTCCCCTGTCTCTAAGAGACCCAAACTCCCCGTGACCTCTCCCCCGTCTCTAAGAGACCCAAACTCCCCGTGACCTCTCCCTCGTCTCTAAGAGACCCAAACTCCCCGTGACCTCTCCCTCGTCTCTAAGAGACCCAAACTCCCCGTGACCTCTCCCCCGTCTCTAAGAGACCCAAACTCCCCGTGACCTCTCCCCCGTCTCTTAAGAGACCCAAACTCCCCGTGACCTCTCCCCTGTCTCTAAGAGACCCAAACTCCGTGACCTCTCCCCATCTCTAAGAGACCCAAACTCCCCGTGACCTCTCCCCCGTCTCTAAGAGACCCAAACTCCCCGTGACCTCTCCCTGTCTCTAAGAGACCCAAACTCCCCGTGACCTCTCCCTGTCTCTAAGAGACCCAAACTCCCCGTGAACTCTCCCTGTCTCTAAGAGACCCAAACTCCCCGTGACCTCTCCCTGTCTCTAAGAGACCCAAACTCCCCGTGACCTCTCCCCTGTCTCTAAGAGACCCAAACTCCCCGTGACCTCTCCCCCGTCTCTAAGAGACCCAAACTCTCTGTGACCTCTCGCCCATCTCTAAGAGACCCAAACTCTCTGTGACCTCTCCCCCTGTCTCTAAGAGACCCAAACTCCCTGTGACCTCTCCCTGTCTCTAAGAGACCCAAACTCTCTGTGACCTCTCCCCTGTCTCTAAGAGACCCAAACTCCCCGGGACCTCTCCCCTGTCTCTAAGAGACACAAACTCCCCGTGACCTCTCCCCCTGTCTCTAAGAGACCCAAACTCCCCGTGACCTCTCCCTTGTCTCTAAGAGACCCAAACTCCCCGTGACCTCTCCACGTCTCTAAGAGACCCAAACTCCCCGTGACCTCTCCCCCGTCTCTAAGAGACCCAAACTCCCCTTGACCTCTCCCCCGTCTCTAAGAGACCCACAAACTCCCCGTGACCTCTCCCTGTCTCCAAGAGACCCAAACTCCCCGTGACCTCTCCCCCGTCTCTAAGAGACCACAAACTCCCCGTGACCTCTCCCCCGTCTCTAAGAGACTCAAACTCCCCGTGACCTCTCCCCCGTCTCTAAGAGACCCAAACTCCCCGTGACCTCTCCCTGTCTCTAAGAGACCCAAACTCCCCGTGACCTCTCCCCTGTCTCTAAGAGACCCACAAACTCCCCGTGACCTCTCCCTGTCTCCAAGAGACCCAAACTCCCCGTGACCTCTCCCCCGTCTCTAAGAGACACAAACTCCCCGTGACCTCTCCCCCGTCTCTAAGAGACCCAAACTCCCCGTGACCTCTCCCCATCTCTAAGAGACCCAAACTCCCCGTGACCTCTCCCCCGGCTCTAAGAGACCCAAACTCCCCGTGACCTCGCCTCGTCTCTAAGAGACCCAAACTCCCCGTGACCTCTCCCCCGTCTCTAAGAGACCCAAACTCCCCGTGACCTCTCCCCCGTCTCTAAGAGACCCAAACTCCCCGTGACCTCTCCCCATCTCTAAGAGACCCAAACTCCCCGTGACCTCTCCCCCGTCTCTAATAGACCCAAACTCCCCGTGACCTCTCCCCCGTCTCTAAGAGACCCAAACTCCCCGTGACCTCTCCCCCGTCTCTAAGACACCCAAACTCCCCGTGACCTCTCCCCCGTCTCTAAGAGACCCAAACTCCCCGTGACCTCTCCCCATCTCTAAGAGACCCAAACTCCCCGTGACCTCTCCCCCGTCTCTAAGAGACCCAAACTCCCCGTGACCTCTCCCTGTCTCTAAGAGACCCAAACTCCCCGTGACCTCTCCCCCGTCTCTAAGAGACCCAAACTCCCCGTGACCTCTCCCCCGTCTCTAAGAGACCCAAACTCCCCGTGACCTCTCCCCCGTCTCTAAGAGACCGAAACTCCCCGTGACCTCTCCCCCGTCTCTAAGAGACCCAAACTCCCCGTGACCTCTCCCCATCTCTAAGAGACCCACAAACTCCCCGTGACCTCTCCCTGTCTCCAAGAGACCCAAACTCCCCGTGACCTCTCCCCCGTCTCTAAGAGACCCAAACTCCCCGTGACCTCTCCCCGTCTCTACGAGACCCAAACTCCCCGTGACCTCTCCCTGTCTCTAAGAGACCCAAACTCCCCGTGACCTCTCCCTGTCTCTAAGAGACCCAAACTCCCCGTGACCTCTCCCCCGTCTCTAAGAGACCCAAACTCCCCGTGACCTCTCCCCCGTCTCTAAGAGACCCAAACTCCCCATGACCTCTCCCCTGTCTCTAAGAGACCCAAACTCCCCGTGACCTCTCCCCCGTCTCTAAGAGACCCAAACTCCCCGTGACCTCTCCTCGTCTCTAAGAGACCCAAACTCCCCGTGACCTCTCCCCCGTCTCTAAGAGACCCAAACTCCCCGTGACCTCTCCCCTGTCTCTAAGAGACCCACAAACTCCCCGTGACCTCTCCCTGTCTCCAAGAGACCCAAACTCCCCGTGACCTCTCCCCCGTCTCTAAGAGACACAAACTCCCCGTGACCTCTCCCCCGTCTCTAAGAGACCCAAACTCCCCGTGACCTCTCCCCATCTCTAAGAGACCCAAACTCCCCGTGACCTCTCCCCTGTCTCTAAGAGACCCAAACTCCCCGTGACCTCTCCTCGTCTCTAAGAGACCCAAACTCCCCGTGACCTCTCCCCCGTCTCTAAGAGACCCAAACTCCCCGTGACCTCTCCCCATCTCTAAGAGACCCAAACTCCCCGTGACCTCTCCCCCGTCTCTAAGAGACCCAAACTCCCCGTGACCTCTCCCCCGTCTCTAAGAGACCCAAACTCCCCGTGACCTCTCCCCCGTCTCTAAGAGACCCAAACTCCCCGTGACCTCTCCCCCGTCTCTAAGACACCCACACTCCCCGTGACCTCTCCCCCGTCTCTAAGAGACCCAAACTCCCCGGGACCTCTCCCCATCTCTAAGAGACCCAAACTCCCCGTGACCTCTCCCCCGTCTCTAAGAGACCCAAACTCCCTGTGACCTCTCCCTGTCTCTAAGAGACCCAAACTCCCCGTGACCTCTCCCTGTCTCTAAGAGACCCAAACTCCCCATGACCTCTCCCCCGTCTCTAAGAGACCCAAACTCCCCATGACCTCTCCCCTGTCTCTAAGAGACCCAAACTCCCCGTGACCTCTCCCCCGTCTCTAAGAGACCCAAACTCCCCGTGACCTCTCCCCTGTCGCTAAGAGACCCAAACTCCCCGTGACCTTTCCCCTGTCTCTAAGAGACCCAAACTCCCCGTGACCTCTCCCTGTCTCTAAGAGACCCAAACTCCCCGTGACCTCTCCCCCGTCTCTAAGAGACCCAAACTCCCCGTGACCTCTCCCCCGTCTCTAAGAGACCACAAACTCCCCGTGACCTCTCCCCCGTCTCTAAGAGACCCAAACTCCCTGTGACCTCTCCCTGTCTCTAAGAGACCCAAACTCCCTGTGACCTCTCCCTGTCTCTAAGAGACCCAAACTCCCCGTGACCTCTCCCCCGTCTCTAAGAGACCCAAACTCCCCGTGACCTCTCCCCCGTCTCTAAGAGACCCAAACTCCCCGTGACGTCTCCCCTATCTCTAAGAGACCCACAAACTCCCCGTGACCTCTCCCTGTCTCCAAGAGACCCAAACTCCCCGTGACCTCTCCCCCGTCTCTAAGAGACCCAAACTCCTCGTGACCTCTCCCCCGTCTCTAAGAGACCCAAACTCGCCGTGACCTCTCCCTGTCTCTAAGAGACCCAAACTCCCCGTGACCTCTCCTCGTCTCCAAGAGACCCAAACTCCCCGTGACCTCTCCCCTGTCTCTAAGAGACCCAAACTCCCCGTGACCTCTCCCTGTCTCTAAGAGACCCAAACTCCCCGTGACCTCTCCCTGTCTCTAAGAGACCCAAACTCCCCGTGACCTCTCCCCTGTCTCTAAGAGACCCAAACTCCCCGTGACCTCTCCCTGTCTCTAAGAGACCCAAACTCCCCGTGACCTCTCCCCTGTCTCTAAGAGACCCAAACTCCCCGTGACCTCTCCCTGTCTCTAAGAGACCCAAACTCCCCGTGACCTCTCCCCGTCTCTAAGAGACCCAAACTCCCCGTGACCTCTCCCCTGTCTCTAAGAGACCCAAACTCCCCGTGACCTCTCCCCGTCTCTAAGAGACCCAAACTCCTCGTGACCTCTCCCCCGTCTCTAAGAGACCCAAACTCCCCGTGACCTCTCCCCTGTTTCTAAGAGACCCAAACTCCCCGTGACCTCTCCCCCGTCTCTAAGAGACCCAAACTCCCCGTGACCTCTCCCTGTCTCTAAGAGACCCAAACTCCCCGTGACCTCTCCCCGTCTCTAAGAGACCCAAACTCCTCGTGACCTCTCCCCCGTCTCTAAGAGACCCAAACTCCCCGTGACCTCTCCCCTGTTTCTAAGAGACCCAAACTCCCCGTGACCTCTCCCCCGTCTCTAAGAGACCACAAACTCCCCGTGACCTCTCCCCCGTCTCTAAGAGACCCAAACTCCCTGTGACCTCTCCCTGTCTCTAAGAGACCCAAACTCCCCGTGACCTCTCCCTGTCTCTAAAAGACCCAAACTCTCCGTGACCTCTCCCCTGTTTCTAAGAGACCCAAACTCCCCGTGACCTCTCCCCCGTCTCTAAGAGACCCAAACTCCCCGTGACCTCTCCCTGTCTCTAAGAGACCCAAACTCCCCGTGACTTCTCCCTGTCTCTAAGAGACCCAAACGCCCCGTGACCTCTCCCCTGTCTCTAAGAGACCCAAACTCCCCGTGACCTCTCCCCCGTCTCTAAGAGACCCAAACTCCCTGTGACCTCTCCCCCGTCTCTAAGAGACCCAAACTCCCCGTGACCTCTCCCCTGTCTCTAAGAGACCCAAACTCCCCGTGACCTCTCCCCCGTCTCTAAGAGACCCAAACTCCCTGTGACCTCTCCCTGTCTCTAAGAGACCCAAACTCCCCGTGACCTCTCCCCCGTCCCCCTCCGAGCTCCTCACCGTCGCCGTCTCCGCTCTCCTCCACCTCTGCCGGGCTCCACGAGGAATCCGTGGCCTCATCCCTCGGCGAGTCTCCTCCAGACTTGGGCTTCGTGTCATACTCGTCGACTCCGATGACTGAAAAATGTCACATTCAGGTTAGGACGTTAAGACTTTTTTTTGTTTTGCTGCGGCTTCCGCCCTTCGGGATTCCCAAGCCTCGTGCCGAGTGCGCTCTCGGAGTCGCACCACGCGAGGGAACGTCCCGCCGAAGCGGACGTGAAACTGTAAAAATAAACCTTGACTTAAAGCTTTCGTGATTGCAGGAATTCATATTCTTTGGGTCTTTCGGTAAAGTCACGTAGATAGGTTCAAAATTAATAAAAATTTTAACAGAAAACCACGACGTTTCGATCACAACACAAGCGATCGTCTTCACCTGAAGGCAGACTCCAAATATACAGCAGCAGGCATCGTCAGGGTCGGGATCGAACCCACGACCTCCTGTATACCGGGCGAGGTAGTCAACATCTCCTAGCCACCGTGATGATGATGAGAGAGAGAGACACGCAGACTCCAAATATACAGCAGCAGGCATCGTCAGGGTTGGGATCAAACCCACGACCTCCTGTATACCAGGCGAGGTAGTTAACATCTCATAGCCACCGCGATGCCCCTCCCGCACTGTCACCTTCACCCACCGCACCGGCCTGGCGAGTGGCAACGCCATCCCTCACCCGTGGGCACTTCCTCGCCGGCGCCGATCGTCGCTATCGGAGGTCCGTGTCCGTGCGACTCCCGCCACAGCGCGGGGCCCGCGACGCCGGCCCGGCCGTGCGAGGCCGGCCGGCCCCGAGACATCCTGGCGGGGTCCATGTGAGCGGGGCCGGCCCCCCCACCTCAGCCGCTTCACAATCTGTCAGGTGGGTGACAGGGGGGGGGGAGCGGGGCGGGGGGGGGTGAGCGGGGATGGAGCAGGGGGGGAGCCGGGGGGGGGGGTTTAGGTGGAGGCCCAGTTTCAGGAAGAGACACGCCGGCAAAGCCCGGTCACGGGTTAGACGAGCCATGATGGGCTCAGTGACGACATCGCCTCCGCTTGCCTCTAAACAGGAGAGAGGATGGCACGGAGAGAGAGAGGGGGACGACGACTTGGAAAGAGAGAGGACGACTCGGAGGAGGAACCACAAACGAGCGAGAAGGCAGCAGCAGCCACGTGGTGAGTAGCCGGTGGTGAGTGTACTGGCAGTCTATAATGTAGACTTATTCTTGGTTCTTTCAGTAATACAAAATAAAATACTTTGCAAGCCCACTGGCTATCAACAAAGATTCGTTCATTAGGCCATCCATATATATACAGACACAAACACAATTTCAACCGAGAGGATGGTTATAAAACTCAGCAATCATTGGAAAGATGTCATCAACCACTTTGGGTCGCGACTTGATTCGTGTCGTTTTCTTCTTGTCTGACCCCAGGGCACAGGTGCCCCGCCCGCTTCGTTGCGCTTGTGCCACGCCCATTTTTTAAACCTCTGTAAATGGTTGCCTTAGGTGACCATCTCCCTCTTTCCTCCTGAAGAAGATCGCCCCTGTTGTGGTCGAAACGTCGTGGTTTTTGTGTTTTTTTATTTTTTATCTGTATTTTTCATTGTTTGTATTTCATCTTGTATTACTGAAAGAACCAAGACTAAGTCTACATTATAGACTGCCAATACACTCACCAAGGTTAAGAACCAGGCTACAGTCTACATTATAGACTGCCAATACGCTCACCAAGCTTAAAAACCAGGCTACAGTCTGCATTATAGACTGCCAGTACACTCACTCCGATTAAGAACCAGGCTACAGTCTATACTAATGGTCTTTTCTTATTTTAATTTTGTCATTTTTTATTAACTTAATTTTTTTATTATTTTTCTATCAACGTGACTTTACCGAAATAACCAAAGAGTACGGATTCCTGCAGTCACGAAAGCTTCAAGTCAAAATGTAGTAGCTCTGTTTCAGAAGCGACCTGGCAATCACAAACGATAGCTCGATCAAGTGATGGCTTATCATCATCGTCATCAACTCATGGAAATGTACAGCAGCCAAATAATTCATAATAAAGGTTTTTTGGGGTTAGATCGCGTTATTTATAAATGTGTCGTAACCCTCCACCACCAAACACGGCCAAACAGTAAAAAAGATGTGTCACGTTTACAAAGGACAAATAGTTCACTACTTCAGCCCACTGGTGTGTTGAAGAATAATGTAAACGCGTGACGTTGATTTAAATGTGGAAGGAAACAACCGGAGGACTCGCGACAACGGGGGGAGAGAGAGAGGCAAACTCCAAATTTCCAGATCTATGGGACCTTTTTCCAGTAGATAAATGATGAAAGATAAAAGTGTAGTCTTTACCGTGCCTTGCAAAAGGAATCCATTTGGTGTGTGAACATCTTAACGGCTCTTCTGTTGCCAGAAAGGATTACACGTATTCTTAAGTTTTCCAAGTATACAGCAGCGGGCATTGTCAGGGTCGGGATCGAACCCACGGCGACCTCCTGTATACCAGGCGAGGTAGTTAACATCTCCTAGCCACCGTGATGATGATAGGCACGCAAACTCCAAATAGCAGGCATCGTCAGGGTCGGGATCGAACCTACGGCGACCTCCTGTATACCAGGCGAGGTAGTTAACATCTCCCAGCCATCGTGGCGTCCCAAGACTGGATCGTGTAGGGCAGAGAGGCGTGTCCATCACAAGGACAGGCTGAAGCAGGCACAGTCACAGGTGGATCCATATCGACTCCTATAGGACCCGGAACCCTATTGATTCCTATAGGACCCGGAACCCTATCGACTCCTATAGGACCCGAATCCCTATTGACTCCTATAGGACCCGGATCCCTATTGACTCCTCTAGGACCCGAATCCCTATAGGAACCCGACGCCATATTGGTCCCTATTGAGTTGGTGGGTGAGTGGCTGGTTGGGTGACTGGTTGCCTCGGTGAGTGGCTGGCTGGCTTTGTGTTGACTGGCTGGGTGGGTGGCTGGGTAGCTGGGTAGCTGGTTGGCTGGGTGGGTGGCGGGCTGGGTAGCTGCTTGGCTGGGTGGCTGACTGGGTGGGTGGCTGACTGGGTGGCTGACTGGGTGGGTGGGTAGCTGACTGGGTGGGTGACTGGGTGGGTGGGTGACTGGCTGGGTGGGTGGCTGGGTGGGTAACTGGGTAGCTGGCTGACTGGGTGGGTGGGTGGCTGGCTGGGTGGCTGGCTGGGTGGGTTGGTGGGTGGCTGGCTGGGTGGCTGACTGGGTGGGTGGCTGGCTGGGTGCGTGGCTGGCTGGGTGCGTGGCTGGCTGGGTGCGTGGCTGGCTGGCTGGGTGGCTGGCTGGGTGGGTGGCTGCGTGGGTGGGTGGCTGGGTGGCTTTGTGGGTGTCCCCCCTACCCCATTGACTCGTATGGGAAACCGCGGGCTTCCCTCCGGGTGGTGAAATCCTCACCTTGACCAGGCGACTGCTTTGTGCAACGAAAGGGGAAACCACTCGAAGTCACGACGGCGACGACGGCGGCGGTGGCGAGAGGAGGAGAGGAGGAGAAAGAGAAGGGGGAGAGGAGGAAGAGGAGAAAGGGCAGGGCGAGGAACGAGCGGAGGGAGGCGGGCGAGGAGTGGGACCCAGGCGAGGAGCAGGAGGCGGGCAGCAGGAGGAGGAGCAGGCCTCGTGACGTCACGAGTAGGCGCAGGGGGGGCGGGGCGGACGGCTCGATGCGGCGCGAGACGACTCACTTGACCACACCCCCCCCCCCACAAAGACAAAGCTCCCCCGTGTAGCCTGTGACAGGCTGTAGGGGCAAGTGCTGTTAGTAGCGAGTAGCAGCACCTGTGAAGGCCGGCACGGCACACGAGGAGGTTGGTGGCCAGCACCACGCCCGGCCGCCTTTGTCTCCCCAGTGGCGGTGTTCACTACACACCGCGCCGAGTATTCATTTTGAGGCTGAGTCGACCTAGGGGAGGCCCAGGGCCCGGTTCAGACAATCGTCGCTGGATGTTGGCCGTGAGTGGGAATCGAACTCGGGTCGCCGGGTTCGTAGCGCAGCGTAGCGGCCTTTAAGGAATATATATAATTATTTAATAGCGCAACGTTTCGGACAATGGACCTTATTCGGCCACGGTGGCCAGGTAGAGATGTTAACTACCTCGCCTGGTGTACAGGAGGTCGTGGGTGCGATCCCGATCCTGACAATTCCCGCTGCTGTAGATTTGGAGTCTTCATCTCTCATCATCATCACGGTGGCTATGAGATGTTAACTACCTCGCCTGGTGTACAGGAGGTCGTGGGTTCGATCCCGACCCTGACAATTCCCGCTGCTGTAGATTTGGAGTCTTGACCTCTCTCTCATCATCATCATCATGGTGTCTAGGAGATGTTAACTACCTCGCCTGGTATACAGAAGGTCGTGGGTTCGATCCCAAGCCTGACAATTCCCGCTGCTGTAGATTTGGAGTCTTCATCTCTCATCATCATCACGGTGGCTATGAGATGTTGACTACCTCGCCTGGTATACAGGAGGTCGTGGGTGCGATCCCGACCCTGACAATTCCCGCTGCTGTAGATTTGGAGTCTTGACCTCTCTCTCATCATCATCATCACGGTGTCTAGGAGATGTTAACTACCTCGCCTGGTATGCAGGAGGTCGTGGGTTCGATCCGAACCCTGATGCCTGCTGCTGTAGATTTGGAGTCTTCATCTCTCTCTCATCATCTTCACGGTGGCTATGAGATGTTAACTACCTCGCCTGGTATACAGGAGGTCGTGGGTGCGATCCCGACCCTGACAATTCCCGCTGCTGTAGATTTGGAGTCTTCATCTCTCTCATCATCATCACGGTGGCTATGAGATGTTGACTACCTCGCCTGGTATACAGGAGGTCGTGGGTGCGATCCCGACCCTGACAATTCCCGCTGCTGTAGATTTGGAGTCTTGACCTCTCTCTCATCATCATCATCACGGTGTCTAGGAGATGTTAACTACCTCGCCTGGTATGCAGGAGGTCGTGGGTTCGATCCGAACCCTGATGCCTGCTGCTGTAGATTTGGAGTCTTCATCTCTCTCTCATCATCTTCACGGTGACTATGAGATGTTAACTACCTCGCCTGGTATACAGGAGGTCGTGGGTGCGATCCCGACCCTGACAATTCCCGCTGCTGTAGATTTGGAGTCTTCATCTCTCTCATCATCATCACGGTGGCTATGAGATGTTGACTACCTCGCCTGGTATACAGGAGGTCGTGGGTTCGATCCGCACCCTGACAATTCCCGCTGCTGTAGATTTGGAGTCTTCATCTCTCTCGCTCTCTCCCTGTGGCCGGCTTCCTCCGGGTTTTCCCCTCCACATTTAGAGTCAACATCAATCACCACGCGTTTAGAGAGTTTGGCTGCTGATGTAAATTTCCACGTGATGATGATGAGCCACTTGTGTTGAGCTATCACTTACGGCCTGGTCGCTACTGAAAAATAAGTTAGCACCTCAATGGGCTTCACCTGGTTAGTTACATCATAGTTTAGTTTTATTTGTGTATTTTTTAAAGAGATTTGTTTACATTTCTTCGACTTTCAACTCACATCGTTATAAGTTGTAAATGTTGTTGTAAATATCTTAACTGCCCCAACTGGAAATCTGTGAAAAAGAGCTTCATAGCTCATCAGATTCCTGAAGTCTATGGGCAGAGTTAGTCTATGGGCAGTGTTAGTCTATGGGCAGTCTAAGTTTATGGGCAGTGTAAGTCTATGGGCAATGTAAGTCTATGGGCAGTGTTAGTCTGGGCAGTGTTAGTCTATGGGCAGTGTTAGCATATGGGCAATGTTAGACTATGGGCAATGTTAGTCTATGGGCAGTGTTAGTCTATGGGCAGTGTAAGTCTATGGGGAGTGTTAGTCTATGGGCAGTGTTAGTCTTTGGGCAATGTTAGTCTGTGGGCAATGTTAGTCTGTGGGCAATGTTAGTCTATGGGCAATGTTAGTCTATGGGCAGTGTTAGTCTATGGACAGTGTTAGTCTATGGGCAGTGTAAGTCTATGGGCAGTGTTAGTCTATGGGCCGTGTTAGTCTATGGGCAGTGTAAGTCTATGGGCAGTGTTAGTCTATGGGCAGTGTTAGTCTATGGGCAGTGTAAGTCTATGGCCAGTGTTAGTCTATGGGCAGTGTAAGTCTATGGGCAGTGTAAGTATATGGGGAGTGTTAGTCTATGGGCAGTGTTAGTCTATGGGTAGTGTTAGTCTATGGGCAGTGTTAGTCTATGGGAAGTGTTAGTCTATGGGCAGTGTTAGTCTATGGGCAGTTCAGTTTATTTATTTTGGTATAGTCCTGTGAGCCATTCGGCTCTTGAATCGGGTGCAACCGCAACAAACAAGAAAACAAAAACACGAACAAGAAAAACATCTTAAAATGACTATGTGACTGTGCAAACAGAAAATCCATGAAAAAACAGCAAAATATTCCTGAAAAAAGCACCGTACACCAACGCTGTGTGCAAAACATCCCAGTGGGATGCAAGCCAAACAACAACAACAACAACCACAAGAAAGCTTAGATTAAGGCCATCAGTCTAACTCCGTGCTACAACAAAACAAACATGTCCAAACCAAAAAATGTTTTCGATATCACCAAAAAATAAAGCCATAATTGCAACGTAACAGTGATCACAGGGACTGTGACCGAATTTTTACAATAAATACATAAATAGCATGTAACACCAAATCCTAGAGCCATAGCTGGCTGCATGAGTTACTCCACAACAACAGGAGCATCAGTCGGAGTGTCAAATTGTTCAATGCACCTTTAAGATCAGCCTGCTACATCAACATACAGATAATACTTTGCAGCGTCATCCGGAGCGAAACATTTTTTTTATTATTTTACGCCAATGAATAGCAGTGGCAGCTAGGGGTGTACAACTGCTCTAGAGCAGTTTTGAGAGATCTCATTGGTAGCGATTCAAGTTGCAGTTTATTGGCAATAGCATTCCAGACCCTGGGGGCATGAATAGCAAAGGCCCTTCCTCCAGTTTTTGTACGGCAATAGGGAATGTGAAGCTGGTAAATGAGCGAAGACCTGAGGTCAAATTTGTTCTTTGAAACAGTTAGTCTATGGGCAGTGTTAGTCTATGGGCAGTGTTAGTCTATGGGCAGTCTAAGTCTATGGGCAGTATATTCTTGGTTCTTTCTGTAAAGTCACGTAGAAGGCAAACTGAGGGCACCCCAATGGGCCCCCCCCCCTATCTCTGGTTATAGCCAACATTTTCATGGAGAAACTTGAGACTGACGCCATCCAGACTGCCACTCTGCGCCCAACCTTATGGAAGAGGTATGTGGATGACACTTTTGTCATCTGGCCACATGGCCGGCCTGCTCTAGACCAATTCTTCGACCACATCAATTCCATACACCCAGCCATCAGATTTACCATGGAAGTCGAAAAAGATGACAAGCTACCTTTTTTTGGATGTCCTAATAAAAAAGAGACCTGATGGTTCAATGAGCCACTCTGTCTACAGGAAAGCTACCCATACGGATGCTTATCTGAAACCGGATTCCCACCACCATCCATCAGAAGAATTCTCTCATCAAGACTCTGCACCATAGAGCCCAATTCATATCCGACCAGGAACACATAGGCAGTGAACTCAAGCACGTACACCAAGCTCTTAAGGCTAATGGTTACTCCGACTATACAATCCGCAAAAGCTATCACTCAAACCATGAAGAAGGACCCTCTTGAGGAGCCTTTCAAAACCATCACTTTACCCTACATTGCGGGGATCACAAAAAAGATCTCCAAAATCTTGAATAAACACAAGATCCAGGTCCGTTTCAACACATTACATAAAATCCGTGATCTGGTTCCGTCTGTAAAAGATGGGATGCCGGACATACAGTACCCTGGTGTCTACAAACTAAGTTGCCTCTGTGGTAGTAGTTACATTGGAGAAACCAAACGACATGTCTCGGACCGCATTCGTGAACACAAAGCAGAGCTTAAACACGGTAGGACTAACACCTCGGCCGTGGCAGATCATTGTTATAATTCAGTAGGCTCACATGACATTGACTTCTCCAAGACAGAGGTTATTTGCAAGCCATCGGGCTACCATGAGAGATTCGTTCATGAAGCTATCCACATATACAAACACAGAGACAATTTCAACCGAGAAGATGGATTCTGGCTTAGCAATCATTAAAAGGATTTGATAAACCATTTCGGGTCTTAATTGATTGTTCACGCTTACGGTGGCTTTCAGACAGGATACATTAATTTTTCCTCTCCCCCCTCCTCTTTTCCGAACATAGATGGACTCGTCCTTCTAAACAAACTTCCAAATCGCTATCCGTGGTGCTAACGTTTAAAAATAAATAAATACAAACCGCCACTTCTTTCAAATGTTCTTGCCGTTGTTTTTCACACCTAATGATGACTGTTTGTGTTACAGTCGAAACGTCGTGAGAATTATATTGGTTTATATATATTTTATTATTTTATTGTTTCCCTTCAACGTGACTTTACCGAAAGAACCAAGAATATGAATCCCTGAAGTCACGAAAGCTTTAAATCAAAATCTAGGGGAAGTGTTAGTCTATGGGCAATGTTAGTCTATGGGCAGTGTAGTCTATGGGCAATGTGAGTCTATGGGCAGTGCTGGTCTATGGGCAGTGTTAGTCTATGGGCAATGTTAGTCTATGGGCAGTGTAGTCTATGGGCAGTGTAGTCTATGGGCAATGTGAGTCTATGGGCAGTGTTAGTCTATGGGCAGTGTTAGTCTATGGGCACTGTGAGTCTATGGGCAGTGTTAGTCTATGGGCAGTGACGTCACATGCTCATGATTATTAATGAGGGGGGTGGTGGACGTGGAGTGACGTCGAGAGCGATGCACACGGACATACTTGGCTCATGATAGTCGGGAGTAATAATGGCGGGGTGGGGGGGTAGACGTCACCTACTCATGAATATTAATTAGGGGGGCTGGTCGATGTGGAGTGACATCACGTGCGTTAAGGATTCTGATGGCCAGTCAAAGTCTCAGATAATACCCCTCCCCCACGCCACGCCCCCTCCTCCCCCACACCACGCCCCTCCCCCACGCCCCCTACTCCACGCCACGCCTCCTCCACACCACGCCCCCTCTCCTCACGCCACGCCTCCTCCGCCACACCACGCCCCTACACCACGCCCCCTACCCCACGGTACGCCTTCTCCGCACCACGCCCCTCCCCCACGCCCCCTACCCCACGCTACGCCACGCCTCCTTCTCCACACCACGCCCCCTCCCCTCACGCCACGCTTCCTCCTCCACACCACGCCCCCTCACCTCACGCCATGCCCCCTCCCCTTACGCCACGCCTTCTCCTCCACATCACGCCCCTCCCCAACGCCCCCTACCCCACGCTACGCCACGCCTCCTCCTCCACACCACGCCCCCACCCCTCACGCCACGCCTCCTCCTCCACACCACGCCCCTCCCCCACGCCCCCTACCCCACGGTACGCCTCCTCCTCAACACCACGCCCCCTCCCCTCACGCCACGCCTCCTCCTCCAACACCACGCCCCCTACCCCACGCGTTTCATCCACGTGCCGGGGCCCCCTCCACTCTGCTCCGTTCTCGACCATCTTCGGCCTTGGAGAGCGGTTCTGCTGCGGGTAAACACAAAATCCTCCTCATCCTTTTCCTCATTCGTCTCCCACGAGAATCCGAGGGTGGCGGGCCAGGCAGGGGTGGCCACCCTCCCGGGTCGAGGCCTGAGGCCTGCCGCTCGGTCGCGTTCGGTCGCGCCCGCCGTTTCGCTTCGAGCCTCGACAAGGCCCGAGGCGGTTTCTTAGGTTTCGGCTGCACCTGCGTGTCCCCTCCTCGCTGAGCCACGCTAAGGCAGCTGTAATACCTGGGGGCTCACAGAGCCAGACTAAGACAGCTGTAATACCTGGGGGCTCACAGAGCCAGACTAAGACAGCTGTAATACCTGGGGGCTCACAGAGCCAGACTAAGACAGCTGTAATACCTGGGGGCTCACAGAGCCAGACTAAGGCAGCTGTAATACCTGGGGGCTCACAGAGCCAGACTAAGACAGCTGTAATACCTGGGGGCTCACAGAGCCAGACTAAGGCAGCTGTAATACCTGGAGGCTCACAGAGCCAGACTAAGGCAGCTGTAATACCTGGGGGCTCACAGAGCCAGACTAAGGCAGCTGTAATACCTGGGGGCTCACAGAGCCAGACTAAGGCAGCTGTAATACCTGGGGGCTCACAGAGCCAGACTAAGACAGCTGTAATACCTGGGGGCTCACAGAGCCAGACTAAGACAGCTGTAATACCTGGGGGCTCACAGAGCCAGACTAAGGCAGCTGTAATACCTGGAGGCTCACAGAGCCAGACTAAGGCAGCTGTAATACCTGGGGGCTCACAGAGCCAGACTAAGGCAGCTGTAATACCTGGGGGCTCACAGAGCCAGACTAAGGCAGCTGTAATACCTGGGGGCTCACAGAGCCAGACTAAGACAGCTGTAATACCTGGGGGCTCACAGAGCCAGACTAAGACAGCTGTAATACCTGGGGGCTCACAGAGCCAGACTAAGGCAGCTGTAATACCTGGGGGCTCACAGAGCCAGACTAAGACAGCTGTAATACCTGTGGGCTCACAGAGCCAGACTAAGGCAGCTGTAATACCTGGGGGCTCACAGAGCCAGACTAAGGCAGCTGTAATACTTGGGGGCTCACAGAGCCAGACTAAGGCAGCTGTAATACCTGGGGGCTCACAGAGCCAGACTAAGGCAGCTGTAATACCTGGGGGCTCACAGAGCCAGACTAAGACAGCTGTAATACCTGGGGGCTCACAGAGCCAGACTAAGGCAGCTGTAATACCTGGGGGCTCACAGAGCCAGACTAAGACAGCTGTAATACCTGTGGGCTCACAGAGCCAGACTAAGGCAGCTGTAATACCTGGGGGCTCACAGAGCCAGACTAAGGCAGCTGTAATACTTGGGGGCTCACAGAGCCAGACTAAGGCAGCTGTAATACCTGGGGGCTCACAGAGCCAGACTAAGGCAGGTGTAATACCTGGGGGCTCACAGAGCCAGACTAAGGCAGCTGTAATACCTGGGGGCTCACAGAGCCAGACTAAGGCAGCTGTAATAACTGGGGGCTCACAGAGCCAGACTAAGGCAGCTGTAATACCTGGGGGCTCACAGAGCCAGACTAAGGCAGCTGTAATACCTGGGGGCTCACAGAGCCAGACTAAGGCAGCTGTAATACCTGGGGGCTCACAGATCCAGACTAAGGCAGCTGTAACACCTGGGGGCTCAACAGAGCCAGACTAAGACAGCTGTAATACCTGGGGGCTCACAGTCAGACTAAGGCAGCTGTAATACCTGGGGGCTCACAGTCAGACTAAGGCAGCTGTAATACCTGGGGGCTCACAGAGCCAGACTAAGGCAGCTGTAATACCTGGGGGCTCACAGAGCCAGACTAAGGCAGCTGTAATACTTGGGGGCTCACAGAGCCAGACTAAGGCAGCTGTAATACCTGGGGGCTCACAGAGCCAGACTAAGGCAGCTGTAATACCGGGGGGCTCACAGAGCCAGACTAAGGCAGCTGTAATACCTGGGGGCTCACAGAGCCAGACTAAGGCAGCTGTAATACCTGGGGGCTCACAGAGCCAGACTAAGGCAGCTGTAATACCTGGGGGCTCACAGAGCCAGACTAAGGCAGCTGTAATACCTGGGGGCTCACAGAGCCAGACTAAGGCAGCTGTAATACCGGGGGGCTCACAGATCCAGACTAACGCAGCTGTAACACCTGGGGGCTCAACAGAGCCAGACTAAGACAGCTGTAATACCTGGGGGCTCACAGTCAGACTAAGGCAGCTGTAATACCTGGGGCTCACAGTCAGACTAAGGCAGCTGTAATACCTGGGGGCTCACAGAGCCAGACTAAGGCAGCTGTAATACCTGGGGGCTCACAGAGCCAGACTAAGGCAGCTGTAATACCTGGGGGCTCACAGAGCCAGACTAAGGCAGCTGTAATACCTGGGGGCTCACAGAGCCAGACTAAGGCAGCTGTAATACCTGGGGGCTCACAGAGCCAGACTAAGACAGCTGTAATACCTGGGGGCTCACAGAGCCAGACTAAGGCAGCTGTAATACCTGGGGGCTCACAGAGCCAGACTAAGGCAGCTGTAATACCTGGGGGCTCACAGAGCCAGACTAAGGCAGCTGTAATACCTGGGGGCTCACAGAGCCAGACTAAGGCAGCTGTAATACCTGGGGGCTCACAGAGCCAGACTAAGACAGCTGTAATACCTGGGGGCTCACAGAGCCAGACTAAGACAGCTGTAATACCTGGGGGCTCACAGAGCCAGACTAAGGCAGCTGTAATACCTGGGGGCTCACAGAGCCAGACTAAGACAGCTGTAATACCTGTGGGCTCACAGAGCCAGACTAAGGCAGCTGTAATACCTGGGGGCTCACAGAGCCAGACTAAGGCAGCTGTAATACTTGGGGGCTCACAGAGCCAGACTAAGGCAGCTGTAATACCTGGGGGCTCACAGAGCCAGACTAATGCAGCTGTAATACCTGGGGGCTCATAGAGCCAGACTAAGGCAGCTATAATACCTGGGGGCTCACAGAGCCAGACTAAGGCAGCTGTAATACCTGGGGGCTCACAGAGCCAGACTAAGGCAGCTGTAATACCTGGGGGCTCACAGAGCCAGACTAAGGCAGCTGTAATACCTGGGGCTCACAGATCCAGACTAAGGCAGCTGTAACACCTGGGGGCTCAACAGAGCCAGACTAAGACAGCTGTAATACCTGGGGGCTCACAGTCAGACTAAGGCAGCTGTAATACCTGGGGGCTTACAGAGCCAGACTAAGGCAGCTGTAATACCTGGGGGCTCACAGTCAGACTAAGGCAGCTGTAATACCTGGGGGCTCACAGAGCCAGACTAAGGCAGCTGTAATACCTGGGGGCTCACAGAGCCAGACTAAGGCAGCTGTAATACCTGGGGGCTCACAGAGCCAGACTAAGGCAGCTGTAATACCTGGGGGCTCACAGAGCCAGACTAAGACAGCTGTAATACCTGGGGGCTCACAGAGCCAGACTAAGACTGCTGTAATACCTGGGGGCTCACAGAGCCAGGCTAAGGCAGCTGTAATACCTGGGGGCTCACAGAGCCAGACTAAGGCAGCTGTAATACCTGGGGGCTCACAGAGCCAGACTAAGGCAGCTGTAATACCTGGGGGCTCACAAAGCCAGGCTAAGGCAGCTGTAATACCTGGGGGCTCACAGAGCCAGACTAAGGCAGCTGTAATACCTGGGGGCTCACAGAGCCAGGCTAAGGCAGCTGTAATACCTGGGGGCTCACAGAGCCAGACTAAGGCAGCTGTAATACCTGGGGGCTCACAGAGCCAGACTAAGACAGCTGTAATACCTGGGGGCTCACAGAGCTAGACTAAGGCAGCTGTAATACCTGGGGGCTCGCAGAGCCAGACTAAGACAGCTGTAATACCTGGGGGCTCACAGAGCCAGACTAAGGCAGCTGTAATACCTGGGGGCTCACACAGCCAGACTAAGGCAGCTGTAACACCTGGGGGCTCACAGAGCCAGACTAAGGCAGCTCTAATACCTGGGGGCTCACAGAGCCAGACCAAGACAGCTGTAATATCTGGGGGCTCACAGAGCCAGACTAAGTCAGGTGTAACACCTGGGGGCTCACAGAGCCAGACTAAGGCAGCTGTAACACCTGGGGGCTCACAGAGCCAGACTAAGGCAGCTGTAATACCTGGGGGCTCACAGAGCCAGACTAAGGCAGCTGTAATACCTGGGGGCTCACAGAGCCAGACTAAGGCAGCTGTAATACCTGGGGGCTCACAGAGCCAGACTAAGGCAGCTGTAATACCTGGGGGCTCACAGAGCCAGACTAAGGCAGCTGTAATACCTGGGGGCTCACAGAGCCAGACTAAGGCAGCTGTAATACCTGGGGGCTCACAGAGCCAGACTAAGGCAGCTGTAATACCTGGGGGCTCACAGAGCCAGACTAAGGCAGCTGTAATACCTGGGGGCTCAACAGAGCCAGACTAAGACAGCTGTAATACCTGGGGGCTCACAGATCAGACTAAGGCAGCTGTAATACCTGGGGGCTCACAGAGCCAGACTAAGGCAGCTGTAATACCTGGGGGCTCACAGTCAGACTAAGGCAGCTGTAATACCTGGGGGCTCACAGAGCCAGACTAAGGCAGCTGTAATACCTGGGGGCTCACAGAGCCAGACTTAAGGCAGCTGTAATACCTGGGGGCTCACAGAGCCAGACTAAGACAGCTGTAATACCTGGGGGCTCACAGAGCCAGACTAAGGACTGCTGTAATACCTGGGGGCTCACAGAGCCAGGACTAAGGCAGCTGTAATACCTGGGGGCTCACAGAGCCAGACTAAGGCAGCTGTAATACCTGGGGGCTCACAGAGCCAGACTAAGGCAGCTGTAATACCTGGGGGCTCACAGAGCCAGGCTAAGGCAGCTGTAATACCTGGGGGCTCACAGAGCCAGACTAAGGCAGCTGTAATACCTGGGGGCTCACAGAGCCAGGCTAAGGCAGCTGTAATACCTGGGGGCTCACAGAGCCAGACTAAGGCAGCTGTAATACCTGGGGGCTCACA